AAATCTTTTCAAAAGGCCAGTGAAAGAAACACAATTTGGCCCTGAAACCAGAGCCAACTCTGCCCCTGACCAACTAAACTAACCAATCCCCGCGCAGGAAAACTAATCAATCCTTGAGCAGAAAAATCTCCTTGGGAAAACTCCACCTCTAAGAAGCCCTATATAAGTGCCCCCACCTCTGCCAGTTCTGTTGGGGTGCTGTCTTTTCCCATTGTGGCGAGGCAGCCACTCGCCTGGACTCCTCCTTCCCAAACAAATCTCTTATAAGAGTCTTGGGTGAAAATCTTCATCTGCAGATGCACAATAGAAGAACCTTGCTGAGATGTCCCTTATGGGACCGAGCAGAAAAGCCTTGCTGAGAAGTTCTTTTAGAAGGACTGAGCAAGGCTGAGCCGAACAGAAAATAAGAATCTCACTGAAATGTTCCCTTAGTGGGAGCTGAGGAGGACTGAGCAGAACAGAAGACCATCACTGCTGAGCAAGACTGAGCAGAAAAAAGTAAGAGCTTTTCTTGGAGCAGGGGAGATTGCTACATTTCTGCGGGGGCTTCCCCTTTAGCAGAGTGTAGCAGAAGAAGTAACATCTTGGGTGGCAGCAGATAGCTCAGCTATGGCTAGGACGTTCCATCGCACCCCAGCTTCAGGTATCGCCTGACTTCCCGACAAGCCAAGATACCTCGCCCTCCAGGGCTGAGCTTTCCTATTGCGGCCCCAGCCGAGCTGTCCTATGGTGGCTCTAAGAATAGACTGGCTTCCCCATAAGTCAGGATACCATTGTAGATCAGAGCTGTAACGCTCACAACGCCCACAGAGGTCAGAGGCATTGGATCCTCTTGGACAGAATTATAAGTAGTTGCCAACTGCCCAATGTGGTTGCTGTTGACCAAACTCTGGTCCTTGTAACAGTGGTGTGAGATCTTAATCAATGAACCAGATCCGGCTGGCCTGGGACTGGCTATGCAGATCAAGCTAGTCTCTAACTCAGAGATCTATCTGCATCTGGTTCCCAAGTACTGGGATCAAAGGCGTGTGCCACCATGCCAAGCCTATTTAATCTGGAGTCTGACAAGCCAAAATCTGACTACCAGGGAAGAAACTGGGGCGGTAATAGTTTTAGAGAGAAAGTTACAAAAATCAAAGAGTGTTATAGAATATTATTATGACGTGTGTTACTTTTGTTTATGCTCTGGAACATTTGTTTAATGATGCAAAGATGTGTTTGATTAAATAAAATTCACCTGCAGGCCAGAGACTGCATCAGCAACTGGCTGACCAGAAATTGTGGGGTGGACCAGGTGGAGAAGGGCTTATAAGGGTGGGGGGAGAAAAATCACAAGGGGGTAAGCTAAGTAAGCTGCTTGCTATTCAGCCTCTCTGGGAAGCAGGATTCTACCTCAGCCTTTGAATCTTGAATTCTCTAGCAAGAGAGAGATTTAGATAAACCCTCTTAGTAGTTTTGAAAGAGTTAGCACCTGAGGGAACGAATTTCCTCAGGCTGAGGCTCTTGCAGCCTAGCCGCTGCTGAGAGCAGCAGAGTTGCAGTTGCTGACTAGGATAGACTCAGCCATAGTTCAAAAAGTTTAAAAAGAGGATAGCAAAAGAGATCTAAGACAAATGTGCTTTTCTTCATGGGGGAGAGATGAGGCTGAGAGGGACTGCCAATACCGCAAAAGCTAAAGCCAGGATGAAAACATGAGCTCACCCACCAAATAGCCGTCACTGCAGGAAAGGATCTACAGGCTACTCTCAAGGAGTTGTGCCTGCCTAAAAAAACACGTGACGTAAACAGGTCATTTAGAGAGGACTTGTCTTTTGGGCTGAACCACCATCTTGCAGTAATTCACCAAAATGGAAAACAAGGGTAAAGAGGAGAAGCGCCCTGGCTATATTCTCTGGGCCATTTAGGAAACCTGGAGTTGTTCCTTTGGCCACATCTATGAGATGTTAAAAACGAATGGCCCCCGAAGTTAGCATAGCAAAACTAGAAGAGGCTACACTGTTACTCTGCGTGCTGTTGGCACCATTGTAAATAAGAAAATTAAGGATAAGATTCTTCCCCACCCCCACCCCCCAGTGACAGAGTTTCTCTTTGTAGACCAGGCTGGCCTTGAACTCAGAGATCCCAGAGTGCTGGGTGTAAAGGTGTCCGTCCTGAGCCTGGCTAAGGGCATGATTCTTATCAAGAGATTTAATCTGTATACTAAGTATATTAAGCACTTTAAGTCTAGAGATGGCTTCCTGAAATGGGTGGAAGAGAGAAGGTGCTAAAGAGAAAGGCACTGGAGTCAACTGGAGAGAGCCGGCCTGCCCCAGCCAGAGGACGCCACCACCAAACCTCTAAAGAGGAAGAATGAAGATGAAAAGGACTTGTTGAGATCATGCTACGCCTTGCTCCATGTTACTGCACTATTGAGTAGACAGTGGCTCTCAATCTGTGCCTTGCCCCAGGTGACTCCACTTCACAAGCAGTATTGGGCTCCATTTTGAGGACAGAGGCAGACGCAGGACGGCTCTGCATCTCATGCACTCAGAAGTTGCTTGTCTAGCACTACCCACGGGGCAGACTGATAGGCTTATTCCTAAAAGGAAAAGAACCACCTGGTAACAAACCACAGTTGTGCTGGCTAGTCTTATGTTCATTTCACACACAAATTCGAGTTATCTGAAAGAAGGGAACCTCTGCAAGATTCAACTGCAAGGCATTTCTTAATTAGTGATTGATGGGGGAGGCCCCCTCCATTGTGGGTGGTCTCATCCCTGGGCTGGTGGTCCTGGGTTCTATAAGAAAGCAGGCTGAGCAAGCCTTAAGGAGTACCCCTCCATTGAAGGCTTAAGTCACAAACAATCCCACACCAGTTTGGAATTAGATTATTAGAGAGGTTATTTATTTTAAGGGGGAAAAACTTACAGATCACCGTCCCAGACAACAGCTCTCTATGCAATGGGGAATGGAGCCTACTCGCTGGAAGCGGAGCCGGAAGCCAAACTGCCAGCAGAGGAAGTGGCCACTTTTTTTTTAAAGGGAGAGAGGCCACGCCCCAGTGGGCTGGTATCTCAGCGACTATTGGCTGAAGGAGTGGGAGCGAACACTCCAAGGCCTCCAGGATCCTGCCGTGTTTGAGTTCTGTCCTGTCTTCCTAAGAAAGTGTAAGTCAAATTAACCCTTTCCTCCCCAGCTTGCTTTCTGGTCATGGTGTGTAGTCACAGCAATAGAAATCCTAAGGCAACAGGATTTGCCTGGGAACCTATGGACACACGAGCCTGAGGATTGACAGAGCACACTACATGGAAGAAGGATGCAGCCCGCTCACCTGAACCCCATAAAGACACCAAACCCTTTCCATGGTCCTCACCTCCAGCTGTTTCTGCAGCTGGACTCAACCCTAAGGTCTAAGGCCTGGTTTAACAATGAAACTCTGTTTCCCTGGCAACATGGCTCTGTACAGCAGTTTCTCTCCTCTCTCCCTCTCTCTGTGTATACAAGACTTTATTTTCTATTTTATGTGTATGGCTGTTTGGCCTGCATTACATGCAAGTGTACTGCATGTGTGCCTGGTGCGCGTGAAGGCCAGAAGAGGGTGCTGGATCCCCTCAAAGTGGAGTTACAGAGAGGCGTGAGGTGCCATTCTGGGAACCAAACCATGGTTCTCTGTGAGAGCAAGTGCTTTTATCCGCTGAGTCATCTTCCCAGCCCCTCCTACTGGGGTAGCTGTTGTTTTACTCTCTGATTACTCGGTGATGCTCTAGCTGTATCACCTCCCTGCTCCAATAAGGCATCTTCAGACTCCTCGAACCTGGTTGAGGCTTAACACTATGCAGGCACACAGGGTTCATGTGTGTGTGTGTGTATTTATGTTTGAGGTGTAGTGTGTGGTGTGGGATTTGATATTAGTAAATTAAGATTGGAATAAGAGAACTTGGTTTGCCAATGGCCAAGGAAAAGAGAGACTACTTGGCAAGCAGCAAACAATAAAATGGATACGGCTTGTGAAATGGTTGTTATTTGACCCATTCTGACGTTGCCAAAAGACACAACCATGTTCATCTACGGTTTCTGACATGTTTCACTCAACAGTGGTACCCTAGGGGCTTCCATAAAGGAAGACAAGCAACCATAAAGGAAGCAAAACCCACTCCAAATCTAAACACTTACAAAGAGAAGCCTCCTGGCCACGGTCCCAACTTTATCTCTAGAAAGATTCGTTGAACATTCTTGTGAAGCATAAAAGCCAATTCAGCTGTCTAGCCACCCCAAACGTTTAGTATGAAAAGACAGTCAGAGCCAACAGTTCTGACCTTTTTCTTTCTTCTTTCTTTCTTTCTTTCTTTCTTTCTTTCTTTCTTTCTTTCTCTCTTTCTTCAAGACGGGGTTCCTCTGTGTAGCCCTGGCTGTTCTGAAACTCAGGCTGTAGACCAGGCTGACCTCAATCCACCTGCCTCTGTCTCCTAAATGCTGGGATTAAGGCACCACTACGGGATTTTACATACCACAGCGAAGCCCCATAGTTCCAAGGCTGATGCCCTGACTCCCTCCCTCCATCCTGCATCTGCCACCCGGAAGGAAGGCAGTCTCTGGTCTAGAAAACCCTCCTTCTGATCACCTCTACAGACTTGGTTAATGATAGCTGCGTGGTGGTGGTGCACGCCTTTAACCCCAGCACTTGGCAGAGGCAGGAGGATTTCTGTGAGTTCGAGGCCAGTCTCATCTACAAGAGCTAGTTCCAGGACAGGCTCCAAAACTACAGAGAAAACTTGTCTCAAAACACCAAAAAAAAAAAAAAAAAAAAAAAAAAAAAAAAAAAAAAAAAAAAAAAAAAAAAAAAAAAAAAAAAAAAAAAAAAAAAAAAAAAAAAAAAAAAAAAAAAAAAAGGTTAATTCTATCTGTGTTAGCTGGGGCTACATTTCAGTTCAAAGGATGTATAACATGGTAAGGGACTGAGCCAGTGACCCGGGCTCCCTCTCCATTGAATGAAGCTGAGCATTCAATCTGCAGCCACGTACCTTTTCTGCCTGTCTCAGGAGTCAAGGAAGGTCTTTCTTGCTGGCTGGTTGATGGAGGCGGGGAAGCGGGTTTCTTTTCTGGCACCTCTTCCTCGACCCTCTTCTGTCCCTTCAGCTCCTCTGGCAGTGATGGTGAGGGTGGCTGGTTATCACTGCTCTCCTGGCTCTCCCTGCAGGCCCCACTTGGCTCGGAATCCACCTTCCCAGCACGCCTAGCAAGCAGCTCTATTAAGTGAGGCCTGCTGAGTTTGGAGAACGGGGACGAAGGTGGCGTTTGGCTGGTAGGCTTGGGAGCCAGGGCCGGCTTCTGCATTGGTGGTGTTTTGCTTGCTGCCTTGTCCTGCCCTGGAGCTGGGGTCTGGCTACCTTGTGGCAGCCCTGACTGGGCTACAGCAACAGAATGACTGCTAGAAGGGATTTCGGCAGAGTCCCTTCGAGGGGCTAGGGCTGGCTTTTTCTCCTGGGGGTGGGATGTGCCAGGCTTGAGGGTCACAGCTTCAGGCTCTTTCTCTCCAGGGTCGTCCACAGTGTCTCCCACGCTGCTGTGCCTCTTCTTCTTCTTCTGTTCGGCTTGCTGGTCACACTGGAAGCGCAAGGAGTAGTTGGTCCTTCTCAGCTTTATTCCGAAGGGCGAGGCCTTTTCCTCACCTCCTGAGATCACAAGGTCTGGCTTTCCAACATCACTCGTGGTCTCACTGTCCAAAGTGGTCGTGGACCCTGTGCGGGAAGCAGATTTCTGCGGAGAAGGCAGGCCTGGAACGAGGAAAGATGGAAGGTCTTTGGCAAATTTGCATCCGTCAGTGGTGTCTGGTGGCTCCTGGCGCACCTCTTGCTTCTCCAGGCACTTCCGAGGCTCCAGAGCCGCAGGCAGAGGCTGAGGCGTTGTTTCTTCACCTGCTGCTGGCCTGGGTTTTTTCCTCATGCTTTCACCATCCAGGCTCTGCTTGGAGGTGTCTGAGCCTCCGTCCGAGAATTTCTGCCAGGCCGGCATGATGGAGAACTTGACTGGCTGCGTCCTGCGCATGTTCCCTCGGGAATCGCACCGCGCTCGGGGAGCGGGCTCATCCCCGGCTCTGGCTGGCTCTCTGTCACCACGCTGGTCACCGTCTGCGTTCTTCAGGATCCTGGATCGAATGGACGCCCACTCGGCTAGCGCAGTGGCATTGCTCGGCGACTCCGGGGGAGGCCTGGCCTTGCCGCTGGTGGCCCTGGGTTCCACTGTGGGGACATCCACCTGCCGCTTTTCTTCTGACAGGCCTAGAAGGGACTTGCACGCTGTGTCCTTGATCTGGCTCAGGTTGACCGCTGGGCCGCAGAGCTGCGCTCCAGTGACCAGAATGGCCGTGTGTGGGATGCTGAGCGCCGAGGGCAGGGCGTGTGGAGTGGCGCCACTGGGCACAGGTGGTTCCTGGGCCACTGGAGCCAGGCTTGCGTCCTTGGCTGGTGTCACTGGGCTCAGGTTGACTTTGGGGAAGAGAATCTGCCTACTCCCGGAGGACACCTGGAATGTGTAGGGTCGGGGCATGGTCTGCCGCTCTTCCACCTCTTGCCACCGGAGCTCCTCCACATTTCGGTCCTTATCTGCAGCGACAGCTTCGTTCTTGTCTTCTGAGGCCAGCGTTCTGCCCATCTGCACCTCTCGTGGCAGGGGGGTATCTATCTGAGTGGCTTCTCTCCCTTCCACGTCTACATCACTGCCCTCCGTGCCCAAGTCTTCCCTCTGCCCATCTGGCTCGCTGGTCATCTTAGCCTCTTCCTTCTGCTCCTGGGCCATCTCTTTCTGTCCCACAGATTCGAGGTTTTCTTGTTCCTCTGGCTTCTCAAGGTCCCGCTGCAATGGGCTTTGCTGATTAGTGTACTCTGTTAGCCGAGGCTGGCTCTCTCCTGGACTCCGTGGGCTTTCGTCCACGCCCTGTGTCTCCATTTCCCATCCTTTCAGCTCTTCTGTGCACTTGGCCTCCTCCTCTTCTTCCTGCCTGAGGTCCTGCAGCATCCTCCTGGCCTCCTCCTCCTGAGCATGCTGCCTCTCGGCCTCCAGCTGCTTCAGTTTCTCCTCCTGCCTCTGGGCCTCGAGCTGCCTCAGTTCTTCCTGTCTCTGGGCCTCAAGCTGCCTCAGTTTCTCCTCCTGCCTCTGGGCTTCGAGTTGCCTCAGTTCCTCTTCCTGCCTCTGGGCCTCGAGCTGCCTCAGTTCCTCCTCCTGCCTCTGGGCCTCGAGTTGCCTCAGTTTCTCCTCCTGCCTCTGGACCTCGAGTTGCCTCAGTTTCTCCTCCTGCCTCTGGACCTCGAGTTGCCTCAGTTTCTCCTCCTGCCTCTGGACCTCGAGTTGCCTCAGTTCCTCTTCCTGCCTCTGGGCATCCCGCTGTCTCAGCTCCTCTTCCTGCCTCTGGGCCTCACACTGCCTCAGTGCCTCTTCATGCCTCTCAGCATCTTCCTGCTCATGCCTGCGCTTTTTAGCCTCCAGGCTCGCAGGGTCATTGGCTTCCCCCAACTCTGCACCTCCCTGCTCCTCCAGACCAGACTGCTGCCCTTCCGCTGGAGATGCCTTCCCTGCCTCTAGCTGCAGCTCCTCCTCCTTGCCTTCCTCCTCTTCCAGCAGCTCCTCTCTGAGACTCTCCTCCCAAAGCCTCCTCTCCAGCGCTTGCCGCCTCTCCTCTTCCAGGCGCCTCTTCTCAGCTGCCTCAGCTTTTTGTCGCTTGCACTTGGCTTCAAGTTCCCGCCAATATTCTTCCTGGAGTCTTTTGTCATCGCGGGAATCCAGAGGTTCTGGTTCCTCCTCATGCCAAATGTGCCTGTCTTCTCCTGGCTGCCCGTTCTGGTCCAGGGAAGGCTGCCTCTCAAAGCTGCCTGGCTCATTCTGACGATCCTGGCACAGGAAAGTGGAGCAGTCAGCCTTTTCCCACAGAGCCCCAACTCGTCCCCGCCACAGCTCAGATCTCTTAATCGCAGGAGGACACGTGTTCCCAAGTACAGACAGAGGTCCCTGCAGCTGCCCACAATGGTCAGCTCTCACTGTCAACCTGACTGGACTTAGCACACACCTCTGGGTGTTTCCAGAGGGGCCCGAGGTAGGAAGGCCCAGCCTGAATACGGTGGTGTTGGTGGTTGGGGGGGGGACAGCGATTACAAGGGCTGAAGTCTAGGGTGGACATAGGATGGAGAGAGGAGAAAGGGAGCTCTGGGCACTAATGTTTCTCTCTGCTTCCTGAATATGCAGTGACTGCTGCCTCACACGGCTGCCGCCATGATTTCGGGGACATGTGCCACTACAATCAAACTGTCGGGGAAAATAAAGCCTCCCCTCCGTTCCTTTTCTCAGACATTTGTCTCCAGTGAGAGCAGCAACTAAATCCCTGTTATCCAAGGTCTTGCCCCACTGTTTCTCTTTAAGGGCAACTGAATAACATGTTGTTATGATTGTTCTAAGTGATTATTGTTGTAAATTTTTTTTGAAACCATACCTAGTTTAGGAATTAAACTTTATCACAAGTATGTATATACGTACATTAAGCACGGATAAAACAGTATATACAGGACATTCATGGTGGGGGTTTAAAATGTGCTCCTCCCTAGGTGAATTCAGGCACTGGTCATACAAAGGAAGAGCACTTGAGGGGATGGAGGAAAAATATTTTTCATTTTGCCCTCTAGCCCCTTCATTTTCTATCTCCAAAACTATTTTTTTCTTAGTAGGAATAACAACAGGGAAAACAATAGCCTACCAACATGAGGAAGATGAGCAAAGGAAGATTTGGATTTCATTACTGACCCCTGAAGCTTGTGACTAAGAAGCCCACCCTAGAAAACCTCGGTTAAGCTGAGCCAGCCTGCTTTTCTGCAGCCCTCTATCGGCAACGCTCTGAGGTCCCCCAGCCTCGGGCCCTGGAGGGTATGCAGGTTTCTTACTGCTGGACACTCGAGTTTCAACAGGGAGAGACATATAGTTTAGTATGGCTCTCCCCAAGCACAGCCCACAGCGTAGGATTAGTGCCCGGCAAGCAAGGGCACCTGCCTCACCGGCTAAGATGAACACTACACACCTGGGAAAGCCACCTGTGCTTCCTTGACACCCTCTGGTTTTTTGGCTTCACAGAGAGCTTGTGCTTGGCAGCACTGTTGTCCAGACGAGCAATCGCCAGGGGGATGGCGTCCAGGTTGACACTTTCAATGGTGCCAGCAGGAGAGAGGTGCCTTTTTGGCCGAGAGGGTTTAACTGGAGCAACCTAGGGCACAGTGGAAGATAGAAAGGTGAGCACGGATCAGAACACGACATACAGGGAGTCCTACAATGGCACCGGGTTCTGTGTGCCCAGCTTAGCCCTTGGAATGTTGTTTTAATGAGGGTCAAAGTCACTACAGAACTCTGAAAACCACAGCCTGTTCCCACCTAGCTTCGGAGGTGGGAGGAAGCCAAGGGTTTCTTTTGCGCGTGCGCGGGGGGGGGGGGGGATGAAAAGAGGCACAGGTGCAGGCCAGAGAAACAGAGAGGGGAATGAGTCGCAGAAACCTGTGGGAGGGGCCTGCTGGCCTCTGCTCTGACCTGCTGGTCTGGTCTGCCCCTGGGCTGGGCTTCAGACCACCAGACAGCAGCTGCATGCATTTCTTCTTCATGCAGATTTCTGTTGTCTCCTCTGAATTCTGCCACTGGGGGTTTGCTCCTTAGGATCCGACTGCCATGGTGGTTGGAAAGAAAATGTCCCCCATAGTCTCAGATGTTTGAATACTTGGTCCTGAGATGGTGGTGCCATTAGGGGGGTGAGGCCTGGCTGGGGGAAGTGTGTTTCAAAGCCTCAGGGCCATTCCCAGAGTGCTTTGTTTCTGGGGTCCTGGTTCAAGATGTGAGCCCTCAGCTTCCTGCCCTGAACACAATGCCTCCATTCCGGCATCTCAGACTTCACCCTCTGGAATCATTGGTTCATAGGAACTCTTATAGCTATAAGTTGCTTTGGTCATGGTATTTTATCAAACAAGTAAATAATAGAAACTCATAAACGAACGTCTCTGCCCCTTCTCCCTTGTTCAGAGTCACCAAGACTAGACAGCAATGCATACAGGAACCAGGTTCAGGAGGGCCAGCTGGGCATGCCCGAGGAAGTCAATGCTTCCTCAGCAGGTACCAGATGCCAAGGATGCTGTGGAGGGCAGGACACCAGGTCCGTAGTGTACAGTTCCAACTTGACAATCTCTGGGCAGAGAAGCCAGGTAAGTCCCCTCCCTAAGGCAGGATTGTTCCTTTCACTGGCCAGCTTCTGGATGGAGGAGGGCCTGGCTGTAGCCCATGGGTCGGCTTCACTTCTAGGGGTCATTAAATCTAGACATATGATACTTGTATCTCTAAACACAAATTTGATAGATGATTCCTTTTATTAACTTACTGGCATGGTTGGATAAAAGGGTAATTGTGAAGCAATAAATTTTGAATTTTGAATAAAAAGGTTCCTTTTTCTGTCTAAAAAATAGAAATTATCCATTTGCTATAAGGATTTTCATAGGTTCATGACCTTGGGCTATTCTGACATTGGGCTATTCTTTCTTAAATGTGATATTAGGACAGGTAATTTGTAAAGAGTAAGAACATGTTTTGGGACGGGCACGGTGGCACTTGTCCGTATTCCTGGGAGAACAGGCTGAAAGACTGAGTGTGAGCTCACCTTGAACTCTACAGAGAGCTCACAGAGGGAGGATCTTATCTCTCATATGCAGATCATAGCTTTGCATCTTTAGATTTGTGTGTTTAACCTGGAATATCTGCAGAGGTCAGAGTTCTTCGTGGTGGGGAGGATTGCAGAACATGTGATATTATGGCAGAGGAGCATCCTGGAGGGTAACGTCTAATGAGAACAGGGGGAGAGACGGCATCGGGGAGAGGAAGGAGCAAGGGAGTCGGTTCACCAAAATGAAGGATGTATAAATAACTAAAACCTTACCATTTTGTAAGATAATTAAAAATTAAAAAGCAAAGAAGTTTGAGTTTGCTGCTCCCAGAAACATGGGTTATTAAAAATACCGCAGTGCTAGGCATAGGACATCTTCCTATAAGTTATTGGTTATGGAGGCCCCGGAGGCCTCTAGATCAACCCAGGCTATTTCATTGCTCTTGGTTGCCCACCATCATTAGATGTTATGACCCTATTGCTGAAGACAGGTGGCAAGAAGTCAATCTGGAACATTCTGGGTGCTGCGAAATAATCCTTCTGTACACTGTAAGGATGTGTTGTTCTCACTGGTTTACTAAAAGGCTGAATGGTCAATAGCTGGGCAGGATTTAGGGGGCAGAGAGGATGCTGGGAAGAAGGGCAGAGACAAGTGTCAACAGCCAAAGGCAGAGGAAGCAGAAGATGAACATGCTGTGTTGAAAAAGGCACTGCCACTTGATACAGCATAAATAAGAAATATGGGTTAATTTAAGCCGAAAGAGCTAGTTAGTACTAAGCCTAAGCTGTTGACTGAGCATTTATAATTAATAATAAGTCTCATAATTGATAATAATTCTCTGTGTGGTTATTTGGAAGCCGGCTGGCAGAATAGAAAACCCCACCTACATCTGGAGTTTCTGCCAGTTAATCTCATAGAAGGTGCTGCTCAGGCCACTGGGGGAGGAAAGATATCAATGGTCTTACCCAGCGCTGGATTTTACAATCCTGACCTGCCAGGCAAGACATACTCACTGTAGAAGTAGCATGTTTGTTATGGGAGTAACCGAAAGCTTTCTGCTTGGGTTTGAGACCTGCTCTCCAGGAAAGAGTTCATGACCGGGACTGTAAACTTGCTGAAAAGCTCATAGCTGGGGAGGTCGTAGGCTATAGGGGGACCTTACTATAATAGTTTTGCTAAATTGTCATCTTGTCAAATTTCCTTATAATATTTTTGTTTATACCCACACATTAGTGCCACTAGCAACCTTGGTCAGAGCACTTCCTTCTGTGGTGGGCAGTGGTTACGGCAGAGACTCAGGACTGGTCAAAGAGTTGAGAAGAAGTGGCTGTCGCACACTCAGCCCTAAACAGGACACGTGGATTTGTCTTCCTCCTTCAGAAGGACCAAGAGACAGCGTAGAAGAGTGGATAGAGCAACTGCAAGGGCTGGAGGGGAAGGAGGAGGGCTGAAAATGCCTTCCTGACATGATTCCGAGGTTCCGCTCAAGAACCCATAGCACCCACGGTTACCAGGACGAGATCAAGCCAGACAATATGGCTGGAGATGGGGCTGAGGCTCCTGCGCTCTCACCCCTAGCTGTGGAGTTGCAGTGGGTGGCTGATGGGGAAGAGAGAGAGTCCGTTTTTCTTTGGGGGTGTGGTCCCTGGTAGCTTGTCCATGCACCAGTGGATGGCACCACAGCCAGAACATGGGGGCAGCTCTAATAAGTGAGGGTTTTCTTCTTTTAAAATGAGGGCATGAAGTAGGGAGATGATATAACGGAGAGGGCCTGGGGGAAGAGAATGCGAGGAATGGGGGATGGATATGGTCGAGGTAAATACACAAGTATGTAATTGCTAAAATACATAAATACAGTATTACTAAATTTTTAAAAATGTTTTGACACAATCATAGAACGCTTAACACATCAAAAAGCTAACAAAGAGCTCTGGTTAAAAAAAAAATAACCAAGGCCGGGTGGTGGTGGCGCACGCCTTTAATCCCAGCACTCGGGAGGCAGAGGCAGGCGGATCTCTGTGAGTTTGAGGCCAGCCTGGTCTAACAAGAGCTAGTTCCAGGACAGGAACCAAAGCTACTGAGAAACCCTGTCTCGAAAATCCAAAAAAAAAAAAAAAAAAAAAAAAAAAATAACCAAGTGGCCTAAGTGTCATTCCCAGAAGGAACCTGGAATAACCTGCAGCCCCGGAATAAAGATACAGTCACAGAGAGACCACTTCCCCTCCCAGCCTGGTGTCACAGCCCGTACCTGTAATCTCAGTACTTGGGAGATGGAGCCAGGGAAAGGATCATCCTTGGCCACATACTGCATTCGAGGCTTGCGAGAGCTGCATGAGACTCTTGTCTCAAAAATCAGTTTAAGGCCTGGAGACATGACTCAGCAGTAAAGAACACGTGCTGCCCTTACCCAGGACCTGGGTTCACTTCCCAGCACACACATGGTGACTCAAAACTACAACTCTAGTTCCTGGGGGCCTGATAGTCTCTTCTGACCTCCATGGGCACCAGACATCCATGTGGTATAAATACATACACACAGGAAAAACCCTCATAAACAAAAAAATCTTTTGTAAGAAGACCCAAACCTTAGACAAACTACGCGCATTAGAGAAATTAGTGGCCAAGGCACCGGGTGAGTCAGAGGAGGAAGCCATTCTGGTAATTGGAGAATTTAGACGTCTGTCCAGCAGGGGGCGCTCACAACCCTCTCAGTCAGCAGGAGCTTTGTGCACAAAGGCCAGCACTGGACAGGGCCAGGCTTGCGGACTGCGCTGTGTGTGTAAAGTCTGTGGGGCTTGCAGGCCGCAATTACCTTCCATGTTTATCCGCAAAAAGATAAAAGATCAAGCTAATACACAATTACAATCAACCAGAACTACTTAGTACACATGACTCCAGCCTTTGGCCTTGTTGCTTTTACTTGCTTATGGTTATTCTTATAACAGCTATAAAATTCTGAGAAGAGTTAAACTTTTATTTCCATTCCCTAAGAGATACCTGGGAGGACAGCAGAGCCAATGTGGCGGACTAACGCCAGGGAAGGACACACGAAGCTGAGAGGTCAGTGCCAGGCTCTGTCTGCCGCTGTCCCCACTGGGCTGAGGGACTGGTCAGAGCCACCCCCGCTGCCCTGCAGGTGCAGAGCTGGTCTCTGCCACATCCTCCATTTCTTCAGAGAAGGTGTGCCCCGTGTAGGTATGAGAATTCTCACCAGAGAAACTCAGCCCCTCAGGACCCATGCTCGGGGCAGAGGGTCTAGGCTCCTCAATGAAGGTAAAATCCCAGGGCCACGGCAGGGGCGGGGGTGGGGTGATTTGTAAGTAAGGGCAAGCATGAAGCCCTGAGTTCAGGTCCCGTCACCCATGTATGAAGCAGAGCATAGCCATTCACGCGCCTGTCACCCCGATGCTGTGGAGGCCGAGACGGGATGACCACCTGGTTCAGTGAGAAGGCCCTAGCTCCGGAGAAAGACTCGGAGAACGGTAGGGCGGGGTTCCTGACTTCCTTCTTTGTCCTTTCTACGCCTACGCTTAGGCGCAGCCCACCCTCCCTCCTCCCCCACCCCAACACACAATAATAAAAGGGCATTAAAAGTGCACGTGTGTAAAAGTAGAGAAAGCTAAGGTTGGGTACGGGTTTGTCTCTTACATTTGTTCATAACAGAAGACCCCCTTACAGCCTTGAGTACCTTGCAGAGATTCTAGAAAGCCCTTCTCAACAGATTCACAACATCTTGAAGCGCACGATCCATTTGTACTTAGGGAAGTCAGCACTGTCTAAAACTCCCAAGGCATGATGGGAGTGTGGCTATTCTTCAGAGCAGGGCTCCAGTCTGGCAGTTGGGTTGCCATGGAAACGGATGCGTTAACCTCTCCCCCTGGTCGCTCGGGTTTATGAACAGAAAATAAAACAGCGGATGGTAACAAACGAGGAAAGAGGCTAGATAAAAAGTTCACATTCCACTACCTTTTCTTCCATCTCACGTCTGGCTTCAGGTAGATTCAGAGGACTGGAGGAACTTGGCGTGTCACTAGACTGGAAGAGAAGAGAGAGCACTTGAGCTGTGGAGACAGGAAGTGCTGGGCGAATAACCAGCACTGTCTAGGCCTGACCAGGGTGGCCCCGTGCTCCACAGGGGGACACGGGCTCTCCAGGAACCACCAAGGACCACTGTGGTAACTGCTGACTGGTACTACAGAGCCGTGGAGGAAGGAGCACCGTCCTCTTTTATTCCTGACTTCAGGGTGCTTCCCTCCCGGTTAGCTCCCAGTCCCACGGCCTGTGCTTCCTCCTAGGGTCAGAGAGGCTGAGAGGCTGCTTGGCGACCACCTCGCCTGGGAAATGGGGCCCTGTTACACACAGTTCCGACCTGGGAGCTCTCAGACTTCCTGGTAGCCAGCTAGCTTTCCCCTGAGACTCCAGAGCAGGGGGTGAAGACGAAAGATCCTCCCAGAGCCACATGCAGAGAAGGCGAAAGAGCAGGGAGGAAAATCTGGGGGTGGCGCACCAGACTTGTTCTGGAAACATCCCCAGAAGGTGGTTGTACTTCTACCTCGTGTGGGTGTGTCAGCTTGCCCAGTCCACTCTAGGCTGCACACGGAAGATGTTTAGAGACAGAAGTCAGGCTTTGTGGGTCGACTCAACCGATAGGGGCAGATCTGATGACCGGACTTTAATTCCTGGAGCCCATAGGTAGTAAGGGCAGGAGAGAACTAATTCTTTAGAACTGTCTCCTGTTTTGCAGGAAAATGGATGAAGCTAGAAAACATTATTTTGAGTGAGGTAACCCAGACACAGAAAGACAATTATCACATGTACTCACTCATAGGTGGTTTTTAAACAAAGTAAAGAAAGCCAGCCTACAAACCACAATCCCAGAGAACTTAGACAGCAATGCCGACACTAAGAGAGACTTACATAGATCTATCTAATCTACTTGGGAAGTAGAAAGTAGAAAAAGACAAGATCTCCTGAGTAAATTGGGAGCATGGGAACCTTGGGGGAGGACTAGAGGGGGGAGGGGAGAGACATGGACGGGAGCAGAGGAAAATCTAGAGCTAAGTAAAAATCAATTAAAAAAAAAAAGAAAAAAAACTGTCTTCTGAATTCCACACACATGCCATGGTATGCACCTACGCACACACGCACACACACATTTAGAAGACCACAAGTCAGCTCCAGACACTTTCTTCCTCACTATTACTCAGAATTCAAATCAGGATTCTCCCTTTTCATGGCCTCCAGCATCTGGCCTTGGCATCTGCCTTCCCCAGCGCCCACCCAGCCCCACCTGACCAGTTCCTCCAGGTCTCCTTTCTAAGATCAGCATGTTCTCTTTGGTCTTTGTTCCGGCTCATACCTGTGCCTAGAACACTTCCACCTTGTCACCCCCTGGTCTGTTCCCAAGCCCACATCTGAAAATGCTACCTCCCCCTGCCCGCAGTGAGTCACTTACTGCCTTATTCTCGGCAGGCAGCATTGTGCCCGATCTCAAACGATCATCTTTACCTGTATGGTGACTGTGTGCTCTGTGACAGCCTCTCATTAGGATGTGAGCCACCAGAGGCCCTCCCGTGACAAATCTTGCTCATCTCTGTAACACCCACACCTAAGACAAGGTCTGCTGAACAAAGAGCCTCTGTCCTTCCTGAGGCCACAGAGCCTCCCGCTTTGAAGTCATAAGTAATAGCAAGGGCGTTCTTTGGTCCTCGTGAATTCCCTGTGTTAGACTGAGGGAGGTTGCTGCTGTTGCTGCCACCGCTGCCTGATACTGGGCAGGTGGGGGAGAGCATTTCGAAATCCACAAGGAAGGAAGGATCCCCGTTTCCTCCTCCTTCACCCACCATCATTTGTCAACATGTGGGGGCCAGGGGTCATCACGGCCAGGCCCCAGCAGAGGTGGCAATAGAACAAACTGTCTGTTTTCACTGCAAACAGTTTGCCTTGCTCTTCTGAAATATTAGCTGATAATAGCTATGCCTATTTTTAACAGCAAACACCCAGATTCTGGAACTGATAGGCAAAGTTGTTTTAAGAGAGACCCAGTGTCCACCTGTCACTAGAGAGCCCTGGACTGGGTATTCCGAGGGCTTTAGAGCCTTTTCTCCTCTACACAGGCCTGTCCTCTGCTGTTGGAGGAACTGGGAATTCAGGATCTAGTCAAAGTGTTCCCTGGAAAGTGTCAATACACCCAGTTTAGACAGCCAGATACTGGAACGTGACTTTCTTTCCAGCTGATGGGAGTTCAAGCTGGCGGGTGTGAGGCCCTCTACCTGGACCCCTATTGCTTTCTTTTCCAGCTCTCTTAAATTAGTCCAATTTGGCGAATAATTAGTCAGCTACTCAGCTGGCAGTCTCCAATTCCTGAGGAGAAAGGGATGTGTAAGAGGCAGTTTTAGCTGCAAAAAGCCAACGTTTAGAGATGGAGAGAAAACAATTTTACACCAACATTTATGGATGAGGACACAGATATGAAAGTGCAGAGGAGACAATGCATCTTTGGGGGTGAGGTCGGGAAAGATTTCCCAGAAGCACCCGAGTCACCTGAGCCTTGAAGGATATGCAGAAGGCTCCGGCAAGGGCATCTGCAAAGGGCTTGTGCCCTCCACCTCCTCATCTTTCCCACTGGTCCTCAGTACCCTTAGGCCACAGCCTGAGCACCAGAAAAGCTTCTCCTCATCTTATCCCCTCCCCCATCCCTCCACTCCTCCAGTCTAGACTCCAGGGTCATCAGATGTCACCTGGCTGGCATCCTGCTCTCTGGCTTCTGAGAATCAAATTCTACCCTGAAGGAGACTTACTTTGTTCTCTGGGTCTGAGAGGACAATATCCTGCTGAGTCACAATTTCCATGGGACTGGTCAGGAAGAAGTCCTCATCAGAGCTAGCGTCCGCACTGCCCGCCTTCTTCATGGGAATGGCATTCGATGGCCGCTGCCCAAACTTGATATTCTTCCCCAACTGTCGCTGCGGGAGAAACAAGGGGAAGACGTTCTGAAACAGTCTCTACAGCCATGACCAGGGTCCCCGGAGACAGTCGTGCCCAGCTGCCTTCTAGGGGCACGGCCATGCCGAGGGACCTCCAGGCCATTCTGCACTGAGTCCACTAGCTTCCATTTGCAGAGCCACAAGCTTTTAAAACTCCAGCCGCCTCTTATATGCAAATAATAACAGCTTCCGGTAGGGGCAGGGACCACGTTTCCTAACCCAGGTTGGAAATACGCGTTTTTAATTTCTTGGATCCATCTACCTACAGCCTTTGAATGCATGAAGAAATCATGTAGAAAATAGTGACATGAAGTGCAGGAGCCATGGGGAGAAATGAAGACTCCTGGGGTGGGCACAGCGGGGAACCTGCTGGTCCCTTCCGGATACATTCTCTGGGAATCTCTCTGTGTCTTCACCTAGCGTCAAAGCCACATGCTCTGGTCACAGTGGGTCTCAGGCCAAGGTGGAGAAGGTCCCAGGGTCAGCAAGGCTTTCCTTGGTGAATGTTGAGATCAGGGATGGGAATGATCCCGTTTTCGTTCCTTGCTACGGTTACGCATTGTGAAATAGGGACCACAAGGAACCTGGGGTAGGGGCGGGGAGGGAAGGGCTAAAGAAGGGCTGATGACTGGCAGCTGGAAGGGCATCTGAACGAAGGGGAGAAATGGGCTGGAAACAATGGCCAGCAGCTTGGGTAAGGGCCAGATTCATAGTAGGAGAACGGACTCCATATGTTTTGCCCCGTGTCTCCTGGGGGTAAACTGTGCCCAGCTAAGGACCACTGCCCTTGAGCTACGCCCATGTGTGGTTTAAACCTAATGTGGTGATTTGATATTTATCTTTAATCTGGCTAATAGTTAATCTGGCAGGGCTTCCAACAAGAGATTTAACAACCAACAGCTCCAGCCCTGGACTGGCTAGGTTTTCTGAACCTGAGACAAGCTAGAGGCACTCACCCGGGAAGAGAGAACCTCAGCTGAAGAACACCTCGATCAGAAGGGCCTGTGGGCACATCTGTGGGCACTTTCCCTAACTGTTAATTGATGGAGGAGTCCAGCCCACCGTGGGTGGTGCCACCCCACGCAGGTGGTTCTGGGTTGCATAAGAAGGGCAGGTGAATGCCAGCCACTAAGCAGCCTTCCTCCCTGGTCTTCAGTTCCTCCCTTAGGTTTCTGCCTTGCGTTGCTACCCGGGCTTCTTTCAGTGATGTACTGTAACCTGTTTGATGAAATAAACCCTTTTCTCCCCAAGTTTGCTTTTGGTCAGTGGTTTTATCATGGGAACAGTAGGATCGAACTAAGACAAACCCAGTCACTTCACAAAACAAAGTCCAGGTGCTTGTGGAGAGGTGACCGGCCCAAGCTCATGGGAAGGCTGAGCGGCTCCAAAGGAATCTGAGCCCACGTCTTTTAAAATGACATCCAGAGTTCTGGTCACTGTGCTTCACACCAGTTCTCATGAATTTGACAGTGTACTTCCTTCTTGCAGGGACAGTTACATAAAGAGATGACCGGCATATTTAATATTTCTCTAAAAATCCCTGGCCAAAGAGTCCCCTGAGGGAAATGTCTCCTGTCCCACAGAACTCAATGGGACCATGTCCACCCACCTCCACCCAGTTCGTCCCCCACCCCAGCCTTGCCCAGTGAGCAGGGAGACGCAGATGCATGACCAAGATGAGCCCCAAGATGCCCCTCTCTGCACAGCGCACCCCACCCTCAGCCACCCAGCATGCCAAGTCAGGGAGCAGGGCTTGCGTTTGGTCCGCTGTGATTTCAGCCTGCACCGGGCTCTCGGCCTCCCAGGAAGAATGCACCCCCAAAGCCCCCATTCAGCCAGGGAAGGAGAGCTTCAGCAGCCCCCAAGACGTTTGCAGGTTGCTGAAAACGGATGTCTTCCAAAGGCAAGTCGAGCAGGAAGCGGCAGTTAGTACGTACTCTAAGCAGGTCCGGAAGCAACACATGTACAACAGCCGATGGAGTCAGACAACAGGACACGGAATCACAGCCACGGAACCGGGGGGGAGGGGGTGGGGGTGCTTCCTATGGGCACGAGACTGACGCTGGACTGGGGAGACGCCCACTGGCAGGGGCTTTCGGTGCCAGTGTTCTGGGATGAGACGTGGGAAAAGGGAACCTTCCTTTCTCTTCTGAGACAGCATCTTGCTCTACAGCCTAGGCTGGCCTTGGACTCTTGTTCCTCCTGCCTGCACCCCTGAGAGTGGCTGAGTTTTCCTTCCATCTCAATTGATGGATAATAACTGTACATACGTGTGGACCACTGTGAGGTTTCAATACATGTATATAATACATAATGGTCAGCCAGGGTGATTGGCATATCCATCACCTCATCCATTTTTCACTTCTTTGTGTTGGGAATGCTCAAAGTTCTCGTTTCTAGCTATTTTGAAATATACTATAAATTATTAACCATAGCTACCCTACTGTGCTATAGAACACTACAGCTTAATAGTCCTCCTAACTGTAATGTATTCATTGGCCAATGGAGATGAAAATCATTTCTCATTTCTATAATGGGAAGGACTTTCATAGTGCACTTCCTGGCATAACACTATATTGTCTCTTAGTTAGGAGTTTGGCCACCACCACAAAAAGCACAAACAGGCCTCTTTAATTGACCAGGGCTCTTCTGAGAGAATGGTTGTTGCTTTATCCTGACGCTTAAGAGACAAGAAAGAAAACATCACAGCCTAGACAGAAACAAAGTCCAAAGACGAGACGAAATGATGGCTGTGGCTACAAATAGAAAAGGAAGGAGAAGGCAAAGAATCTCAGCACGGAGAAGGACAGGGACAGGCCGGGAAATGGGCAGAGGAATGTTAGGACATGGAGTGGAAGGCAAAGGAGGACAGGGAGGGAGGCGGCAGAGACAGGAAGTGTGGAGGAAGGAAGAGGAGGAAGGGCCCAGGACAGTGGATACAACATCTGAGGACCTGGAGGACACAGGAGGAGAAGAGGGCAGAGGGAAGGGAACATGCGACCATGCCAAAGGGCTGATGTCTGTTGCAGACATGTTCATCCTGACAAATTAAATAATAAAAGTGTTCTCCTTAGTCTAGAGGCCGTTTTGAAATTCCCTATGGATAACAGACTCAGGCTGGTGGCGGGGAGCTGAGGGAACTGAAAGGCCGGAGAGGACGGTGATGGTGATGGGGAATAGGGCTGGTCTCTGTGTCCAGATAAAGGGATGTCCTGTGGCTTTTTAGACAAGAGCTGGTGAACCAATGCCCCAGGTGGTGTTTAAGGACCAATCGCTCACACCCTGACACACCCTTTCTCCACAGGTCCCTTTTCTACACACCTTTACGTGACTCAGAGGAGACTGGACTGCTGTGACATTTTATAAGGTGTACTGACAACTTAAAGAGTCCTGCTAAAATCTAGCTGGTGATCTGGGGTGTCACACGAACTATATGGGAACAGGTTATTTCTATTGCTCTCATTGCTCATGGTTCAGGCACTGTCAACAAAGGGCCAACAACAGGAGGGAGAAATCACTCTAAATCAGGCTGCTGTAAGCTGGCCCCAAAGTTATCGGCCCCACGAGCTCTGTCTTTTCACACGTCGCAATTATATCCGGAGAGGAAAGAGGAAATTGGTCCATACACTGACAGCGTGTGCTGCTGCTGGCTATGAATGCAGCTACTGTTGTGACTGGAATGCGAGCTAACGGGACTATATTTTATTCATTCAGTTTGGGCCATTTTGCCGTCATATGGAATGCTTGGGAATGAATGATGCTACAGGAATGCACATCCATATTTATGAGGCTGGATGCTGTCGTGTGGAAATGCCAAGTACATTGTATTCTGCAGCTTTTTGCACTGCCGGTATCTAGAATTTCCCAGATTTTTTTTTTCTGCAGCCATTTTTTTTTTTTTTCAAATCATGTCCATGAGAGCAAACGGCAGAGGGGGAAAAAAAAAAAAGGTGATGTACTCCCATCACGAGAGTGAATTCTTTTTTCTTTCTTTCTTTTTTTTTTTTTTTTTTTTTTTTGGTTTTTCGAGACAGGGTTTCTCTGTGGCTTTGGAGCCTGGAACTAGCTCTTGTAGACCAGGCTGGTCTCGAACTCACAGAGATCCGCCTGCCTCTGCCTCCCGAGTGCTGGGATTAAAGGTGTGCGCCACCATCGCCCGGCTGAGAGTGAATTCTTAAAAAAAGCATATGAATTCAGGACACCTGTTCTAGGAAGACCTGGCCGAGATCAGGTGCTTTGCTTTCTGCCCTTGATGGCTGTATTAGATGTCAAAATCCTCAAACGTAGGATTTTGGAATTCTCAAGTGAAACCCACTTCAGTAGGCGACATCAGCTCCCAGGGACCGAGGCCCCCACCTACACCTGTGCCAAATAATCCGTGGGACACATAACCTAGGCGTTTCCCGACAAAAGTGCGGCACGACTCTGGCAACCACCTGCGGGCATAGCCAGGCTTCCTCCGGCTTCACCAGCAGCTGGTACGTACCTCCCAGCTGGGTGTGACCTTCAGCAGAGAGGCTCTCTCCTGATCTGTGCTGCTTGGTAATGTCAAGGTCGTCGCAGCACAAATATCACCAAGGGCAACGCTTTTACAGCTACCATGTGCAGTGCTTTTACAGCTACCGCGGGCAGCGGTGAACAGGGACTTCACACAGACTCCAGGCTTTAAGGCCTGCAGGAGCCTTGGGGCTTGCCCATCACCTGCGCCTCCTTATTGTTCAAGTGGGGAAAGTGAGAGTCAGAAAGATTAAACAATTATGTGGCCCAAGGTCACATGACCACATGGTGGCAGAGGCCTGGCATCTTTTATTGCTGTGTCCTCTTACTCATTCGAGTGGTCATCCTACCGGCTGGCCTTCCAAAGGGCGCTATTGTTTTAATCCCTGTAACTAAGTGTTTATTCAAATTTGTTCTCACAGCGCACATTTTTATACGCGGAAAAAAATGTGCTCTTGTTCTTTTAAAAAGCTCAAAATTTTTGTCATGGTAAAGCGATGTTATTTAAGACAGGGAAGGGTAACTGTGCTGGATGCTAACAACTCCTGTGGGTGCAACGACAGTTCTAGGTGCTATGACATAAGTGGACACTAGGGGGCAATCTTTCCAAATGCAAACACCATCCACCCACGTTCGTGAGTTCTAAGTGAATGCTGGACAGTCTCTTAAACTAATTTTTTTTTGGTTAAATTTCATTACAAAAGAATATTTAAATAATTGTGGCTATTCGTCTATCCAGAACATTCACTGTCAAATAGGTGTTATCCATTCCTTTCTCAAAAAAAGAAGAAGAAGAAGAAGAACATAGACATGTACACAATGACAGTTCCAGACAGAAAACCACACATGCCTCCGGCACAGCTAGACTCTCTCATTCCATGCTGGAGTCTAGGAGGAGGCGGTCTCCTGTGCTTCTTACTGGGCATCCACAGCAGCATAAGGTTGTCGTGGGAAATGCAAAGCATTCATGCAAGTGTATGAAGTCACTAGATTTGGGGGACTTACCAGGAACATACTGCTTAGGCGACTGAAAAATAAAGCACAGTCTTTGGGAGTGATTCAGTTAAACCTTAGGTCACTTAAAGACTAAAAATCCCTTTTGCTCTGACCGTGGTCCCCGTTTTCAGCCTCAAAGAGCAAAGCCCCAAATATCCCCAAAGTCACTGTAGGGATCAGAGGAGGAGTCGGAGGCCGGCAGCAGAAGCAAAACTCAGCAGAGCTCATCTGCCGGTTGGCTGTGCAGACGAGACCGCTCACACTCAATTCTCCTTCTGCTCCCCTCCCCTCCCCCGCTGTGTTAACTGTGTTGTCACTTCAGGGAAGTTGATGGTTTCATGTTTTACTAATCATGGGATCAAATTATCTAAACTCTTACCTTATTGTTAAAAAAAAGCCACGGCCCTTGCTCACATATTTTGAGTTTCTATTTTGTTCCCAGTACTGCACAATTGCACGGCACATACTTAACAACCCTTAAGTCCACTTTTTAAAGAGGGAGCGTTATGCGGTGAACGTTACAGAGCAGATATGTTGGCGCCCACGGGCCATTATCCACCTTTAAAGGGCTCTCGAAGCTCCTATGAACGGCAGCTATTTCATGGTCTGAAACCTGCACACCGTTTCTTTTAGAGAAAGGTTTATGATAAGGCAGGGGCTCAGAACTGGCAGAGGGAAGTGGGTCCAAGTTCTCCCTGGCTATTCCTGTCTTCTCTCTTGGACCTGTGAATAGTGAGAGCTGGCTTCTTCAGAGTTGAGGAGTAGACACAGCCAGCAGGAACAAAGGGGAGTCTGGCTAGGAAGTGCTGGGGTTTGCGAGCCAGCCTGGGTAGGCTTTATGGGTGGACTGCGGCCCTTGGTCAGTGTGGCTCTAGGCGTAATGATCTGGGCAAGGCTCCAGGGTGTTGGCTGCTTCCTGGTTTGTCATACATCACCGTCCACCGACCATATGACCATAGGTCATAAAATGTACAGCTTATGTTCAGAAGAAACGAGACCATGCGAAAAGAATAGCAAAGTTACTTTGGAGAGCTGGGATTAAAGGCATGTGCCGCCACGGCCAGCTCTTGTTGCCTTTTTTCTTCTCATCCATTCCTTGATCCAGTCACTGTTGTGGACGTGTCGTCAGATGGGACTCAGCAACTCAGAGCCCTCTGTTCAAAGTCTAGGGAGTCCCCAAGCACTCCCGTCTCAGAAGTGCTTGCCTTGGCTTTGCTTCCTGGTGAGGGAAATGCCCTACATAATGAGACTCCACAGTCTTTGTTCCTTTGACGTTTCCTGGGCCCATTATTTTAACGACATTCAGTATAGCACAGTTTACTACACTTTCACTGTTAGGGAGTCACCAGCTGAGTCAACAGTAGGTAAGAAAACTGCCCCACCGCAGGGTGAATGGAGTTGGCAAGGAACTTCCCAAGACAGGGTGGCTGGAAGCCGCATTTACAGCTACCACAAGAGCCTCGCCCTGCCCCATCTCCTGCTGGAGACTCACAGGATGGACTGCACAATGCGGCCTCTGTTGACAGCGGCTCCGGTACTTGGTGGTTGGGAGCTCTTTCCCACATGCAAGCCCTGGAGCTTATCTTAGGTACTTGTTCTGGTCAAACCAGAAGCGACAACTGGAGAGGAGAGGTGGGGGGACAAGCCGTGCGGGTGGGTACAGCAGGGCTAAGTGTGCCTCTCATGGGGGAAACTGAGTGGAGCACCAGATCTCAAAGCCTCTCCCCTGGAGAGACCCCAGGACCTCCCACTCCATCACTCAAGGACCGACCAGGGTCTTTTCCACTTCCCTCCTCTGCCTCTGATCTGCCCATCATCTCAAGCTGTCTTACCTGAAGAGTTTTGACTTTGCCCAGGATGTTGTCCTGTGACATTGCTTGAACTGTCTGCTCATTTTCTGCTCCCCCATCAGGGATAAAAATACTGTCATGGGAGAAGGCCCGTGCTCCCATAGAACGGGTGGAGGACCTGGAATGCAAACCACGTGCTTCGTTTTATTAGGATGATAAATGTCTTCTCCAGATTCAGTTCTCTGTTCTTCCTGACTCAAAGGGCTCTGCCCACATCGCCTATCTTTTTTTTTTATTTTACTTATTTATTATGTATACAATATTCTGATTTGTGTGTATGCCTGCAGGCCAGAAGAGGGCACCAGACCTCACCACAGATGGTTGTGAGCCACCATGCGGTTGCTGGGAATTGAACTCAGGACCTTTGGAAGAGCAGGCAATGCTCTTAACCTCTGAGCCATCTCTCCAGGCCCCACATCGCCTATCTTATTCAGAAAGTCCTTCGACACCGTGGCCTTCCTACAGAGGGTCAGACGGGGAGCAGGGGAGATGAGAGGGTCCCGTGGAATGGGGAATGTGGCTCTCTCACGATATTTCTCAGAACCACTCAGGGCAAGAACTTCAAGGGAGTGTTTCTTTGTAGAGCCAACAGCCCTGCTCAATTTTTAACCAGAAGACTTGCCTGGATGAGCTGTCCCTACCAGGTTTGTTCTGCAAAATCTTTCCAGCTGGTATTTATGAAGTGATACCCAGATCTGGAAGAGGTCAGAGTTTCTTTCATGTCCAGTCAAGACTGCAGTACTGGTGTAGAGCAAGGTTTTGGAAGAAGGGGCCATCAATGCCTGAAGATACAACCAAGGGGGAGGAATCCAGGTTGGAGCCCTTTTGACATGTTTTGTACACACAGAACATGGTATAGATTCACAGTTCACAGCAAACTGCTGTGGTTTGAATTCAGGGCTTCATGTACTGTAAGCTTGGTCCCCAGTGTAGCAATGTTAGGGAGTAATAAGACCTTTAAGGGGGCGCTCATTGTGGGCACTGTCCTTGGAAGGAATTCTCACGAGACCATAGCTCTCCCGAATGAGTAAGAAGAGGAAGCCCAGGCATTCCCCATACCCTGGCTTCCCTTCTACCCAGGGGACACAGAACGTAAGAAGCATCCACTTCTGGCTAGATCTGTCCTGCTGTGCCGCCTTCCATGTTGACATAATGTAACCAGGGGGGTCACGACCGGGGCTGGCGCCATGCTATTTGGGTTTTCAGCCTCTCAAAGTGAGCCAAACAAACTTTTCTATACACATCCTGGCTCGAGGAAGTCAGGTATTTTGTTAGAGTAATGGGCAATGGGGCTGGATGGAGCTCAGTTAGTAGAGGGTTCAGGATGCGCAGGGCCCTAGGCTTACTCTCTAGCATCAACAAGAAGAAAACAGATGCCTTTCCAGTTGCAGGGTTGCACGGGAGAGACGTCTGGACGTCTCCCTGATGAGAGGCAGGAACAGTGGGAAACTCAGGAGAAGGAAGCCCCAGGCGATAGCCACTCCTTACTCAGGCAGTAGCAGCTTGCCCTTCCTGTGGCAACGCAGAACATTTCCAAGGTGACACAGGCAGGTCTCAAGGCTGAGGGAGCAGCACTCCCCCCTTTCCTTAATGGGAGGTTCCCCTGAGACCAAGTGCAGGAAAGCGCAGGGTAAAGGTGACCTCAACCAGTCCCCCCATAATGCACTGCAACTGGATTGCTCATCTACCCAGGTCTAGACGGAGCTCAGAAGATTATAGCATTTAATTTACGGAATTGCAGGAAGCACGTTAAAGACCATCTTAAGTTTAGGGCCAAGGGACTCAGGTGAGAGCCCGTGCGACCTAGCTATGAACAAGCAGCCATGCACTTCCAGTGTGATGAACCCCACTGATGGGCGTTAGTTTCATCCTCTCATTTACTCTTTGCCACCCTCATCTTACTAGAGACGATGCCGGGGGTGAGGACCACATCCAAAGCCATTCCAGTTCAAGCAGTAGAGTATCCTACTGAGCGCAGCCCCACGCCAGCCAGTTGACATGCCTTTGGGACAGTTTTAGAGTGTGGCCATCCAAGAAGGACAGAGTATGGGGGAGGAAGGCAGGCGGCGTGTACCAGGAAGGCTGGAGTCTCAAAAGGCTGAAGACATGAAGTCACTAGAATAACGGTTCCGCCTTCAGGAGAGTCGCTGGCCTACATAGGGCAGCAGCTTCCTGTGTGAGCCATGATGCAGTCTTGTTTTTGGAAATACGAAGGGAAAAGAAAGCTCTCACCATTTCCCAGTCCTAAGAAACGATGATGCTATCCACATAGGTTTAAAAAAAATGAACTTCCAATTTCATTCAGTGATGCCACAAACAAGGTTTTCAACCAATGGCGTTAAACCTTTCGCTGTTTTCTGTCTTAAATTCAGACTTCTGGTTACAATTCAGATAAGAGAAGAATGTTTCATTTTTACATAGTCTATCAAGATTTTTACTTAAATTATGTTTTTAGTGGGTATTTGTGAATGTGCATGTGTGTGCACGTGTGTGACTTGTGGGTAGAGCCCAGAAGTCAGCCTGTGTTGTTGGCCTCAGAAGCCACCCACCTTGTTTTTAGGGACACGGTCTCTCACCGGGACCTGCAGCCTGCCCGTTAGGTGAGGCTGGCTGGACGGTACACTCCGGGGATCCTCCTGTCTCTCCAGGGATGACATGAGAAGTGTGTGCCTCTAAACACGCCTTCTCAGGCGGGTGCTGGGTCCCAGAGGCAGGTCCTCACGCATGCGTGGTTAGCACTTTCCCGGCTTAACCATCTCCTAGGCCTGTACACGGCACTTAGGCAAACAATTACACATATAAACAGGCTCTCAAACACTCAGACCGGTATGTACGTGCCCATACACGGTTCCATGTTTAATGTTTAGTAAATTCCACTACTTTCTTACAGTTGTGCGTGCAGAGTACAATAAGGCCAAGCTAAATTCCATTCCAGTTGCCATGTCTGTCTTAACTGAGTCACGAAGTTCTTAACATAGGTGTTCCTGTTATTTTTGGTATGTAGGCTAGAAACTGGCCCTGGTTTGCTTTACTGTGTTGACCCCAGGTTTGATGTGGAAACACCCCTGCTTTTAGATGATTATATTAAAAGACAGATAAAGAATAAAAATACTAGTTGTCAAAATTATAGTAATTATAAGTACAGTGCTAATAGTAATTCTAGCTAAATATGGTAAGACATCACATCTTACTGTGTGTGTAGTTAAAAACAATAAGACATTGTGTATGTGTACAGCTAAATACAATGAGACATCATATGTGTATGTGTGAGTGCGTGAGTGCGTGCACATGTGTGTGTGTGCACATCTACACGCTAACATCTTTACTATAACATATGAATCCTCCTGCTGTAATATTTAAAACCTATGTGCAGGAACTGATAATAAGCCTGCTTTTCAGATGAGAAAGAAACTAAAGTTCGAGGCCAGCCTGGTCTAAAGAGTTCTAGGATAGACCAAACCTACAGAGAAACACTGTCTCAAAAAACTTAAAAAAAGAAAAAGGAACTAAAGCTCAAAGGCCCTGTGATGACAGGGCCTCAGTGGGCTTCTGACCCTGGCCTCTGCCCCTGCCATCTGCTCGTCTACTTTCATGGGCAGAAATAAGCCCACACTGGCTGGGTATGGTGACATGCGTCTGTAAGCCCGGAACTCAGAAGACAGGGGCAGAAGGACAGCTAGAATTATGAGTAGGAGCCACACACTGCAATTCTGCCTCAAAAACACAGAAAGAAATACAAACCCCACAACAACCAAACAAAACACCAAAACAAAACAGAAATAAGCCCATGCCCATTCTGTCTTATGTTTGTGTCTGTTTTAATATCTACTTTGTTTTTCAGCTGTTTTATTTTTTTCTCCCAAGATGGCTATCCTGTCCCTTTGCGTTTCTATATAAATTCAATCCTGTCTTCCCCTATTCTTTTCCTCCCCTTTCTCTTGTCTTTGTCTGTCTGTCTGTCTGTCCTTTATGCTCCTGCAATTACTTTCACAATGGGCTTAGATCTACAGACATATCTAGGGCTGATGTCTTTACAATACTTTACCTTTTAATCTAGAACCTGGGGTGTGTCTGTGAGTTAAGATCATCTTTTGTTTTATTATTATCTTAGTATTTTTTTTGTATTATCTTAGTACTTTTTTGAGTAGAGCTCCTGAACATATCCTGATAGATTTATTCCTATATATCTGGTGGGTTGGACTCTTTCGTAAGTGGTATTAAAAATCTTTATTTTCTGTTTTCTCACTGTTGGAATATAAGATAAAATTGTTTTTAATATACTGAGCTTATGAAAAGAGACTTTGCTAGGCTTGTTTAATAACTATAACAATATGATCTCTAAGTCTTTGTATATCCAAAATACAATTAGGTTGTCTACCACAAAACACCACTTTTACCTCAAGCCTTTCTTATCTTCTTGCTGTTTTCTTTCCACACGGAGTCAGCTAAACTCTTGTTGACAAAAGGCAGTGGAAGTGGTGGTGGCAGATCTTGTGATGCTCCAAACCCAGGGAGAAAACACTCCACTATTTTAAGATGTCTGGTATTGGCCAGAATTTTGTTGGATATGCTTATATGGCTGTTTCTTTGAAAAATGAAATACTTCATCTCATTTTTCCTTTCAGAAGATTAAAATTTTGTATCTCGTTTGCTTTTTGACAGTTTTGCTCTGGCATGGGTAGGTGTGAACTTTCCTCTAGTTTGGAGGATTGCACGACTTCTTAAATCTGCAGCTTGATGTCTTTCATCCACTCAGGAAAAACTCTCAGCCCTTATTTCTCATGTTATCTCCAGCCATTTTCCTCTCACTCCTCTTCAATGGCCCAGCAGGAGCCATTTGTCTTTTGCTCTCTTTTCTGGATCTAGCTTCCTTTTCACACTAATCTATATCTAATCTATATCTGCTGTCTTGATCCAGACCTTCCCGCGAGCTATGCTCTAACCCACTCTTTGTCTAATATGCTAGTGAAACGATTTGTTGACCTTCTTAACTTCAGAATTATTATTATTTTTATCTCAAACCATCACTTATTTGTTTTTTAATAGATCCCAATTTCCCAACAAGATTCTCTGCCATGTCAACAAGATTCTCTGCCATGTCAACAAGAGTCTCT